TGAAAGTGGGTCAATTATTTACATAGTTTTACTCTGGGATCCTTCTGAATGTAAAGATATATAACTGTTATTATTGACAATGATGTAGACAAATATCTACTCTTCAGTTCCAGGCTTCACTGTTTCTTTTTTAGAGGCAGGCACTCACAATGCTTAACTTAGTTATTAGTCCCATGATTTCCAGAAAGCCTGAATGCTATTATGTCACTTTGACAAAGGCAATCAGCCTGAACAATGATGTTTCCAAGGGTAATATTGGGTCATTGAGTTATCAATTTTAAGCATAGCTGCTGTCACTTTTGGAGCATACACTTTAGGCAACGGCTAAATTTTCCTCTAAGAATATCAAAGGTGATTCTGGCATGCTTTAAAAGAAGAAACATGCTTTATCTTACTACCTCCTGGTAATTATTGTTCTTCCTTTCTATTAAATAGGTCTCAGAGAAGTGGTTAAGATCCTAACTTTTTCCCTGACCCATATGTTATCCTACAATTTAATATGCCACTTAATTTAACACAGATTTGGGAGTGTCACTCCTTTTCTGGTAGAATTTAATGGAATTTGCCCAATGGCTTGCATTTGGCAGTGAAGCATTATGTGATGCTTTTACTAAGGAAGTGCACCAAAAGAAATTGTATCATATGATGGCAAGATGACTTGAAACATCCTGTGTAAAGAAGCAAGATCTTGAATTGAATTTCTTTCATTTATTACTTGAAATGTGCAGATGCATTTCTAAAGCTGTTGTGATTAAGACTAAATGAAGAAATTGTTCTTTTCAAAGGACAATTCTGATTCCAATGCCTCAAAAAGACTTAGAACTTAATACTTCAGTATTACTAATCTCATGTTATCCTTGCCAGAATGTTTCACAGGATTTTTTTAGGCATTACTACATTCTGCATTGGAACCTGTTTGTCAATGAGGCAGTATAAAGTGAGGCAGGCTGAGCCTTGTGTCTCCAAAATGTACCCCAGACCTGTTAGCCTAGAAGGTTGGAATCAGAATTTAGAAGTTATTCGAGGCAGCAGTAAAGGTAAATTTAGCCCTGATACAAGCAGGTCAACTTTTATTGACCAGTAGTGAAGTGATGTTAAAACTCTATCCCTGTTCAAAATAGATTCCTTGGCCTTGTTTAGACAAGGCTGAATGATGCATTGTTAGGATATAGAGGTCAAATGGAAAAATCTAATGTAGATAGTTCAGCAGCTGCTTTCAACTAAACTATTAAAAATATGAATTTTGAGTGGATATATTAAAGTCTTCAGCTTTATATTTTACCATTAACTTTAAAATCAGGAAGCATACAAATAAATGTTTTGCATATATTACATCTTTCAAATGACTGTTAGTGTTTTATTTAAATAAAATTATGGATAGATTTTCAGAGGAGTCTCAAACTAGTCTCTGAAAGCGCAGATACAGCTTTGAATAAACACTTTTTGATTACTCCATTTTCAAATGCACAAAAAGTCCAGGCTTAAGCACATAAATTGCATCTGAGTGCCCTAGACAGGTATAGATAATTAAACTAATTGATAACTTGGAGAATGGATGTGAGCATACCTTTAGTAAATTTGCAAATGACACCAAGCTGGGTGGCAGAACAGACACCAGAGAATGGATATAAAGTGAAAATGACCTTGATAAATTGGAAATATGGTTTGAATTAAATAGGATGAAATTCAATAAGGAGAAGTGTAAAGAACTGTACTTAGGAAAGAACAATCATATGCACAAACCTGAAAGTAGAATGACAGAGTAGGCTGCAGTACTGCAGAAGGACCTGGATGTTATAGTGGATCATAAGCTCAGTCTGAGTCAATAACAGAATGTTTTTGTAAAAAAGATAATAGCATATGGTGATGTATTACCAGGGGTGTCATATACAAGCCACAGGAAGTTATTCTTTTATTCTAGTCAGCACTGGTGACACCTCACCTTGAGTACCTTTTTATTTTGGGCAATGAACTTGGAGAGATGTATACATTTTGGAGAGATTCTAGAGACCAGTGACAGAAATACTTAGAGGTCTAGAAAACACGTTGTATGAGAACAGGTTAGAAGGATAGTGACTATTTATTCTGGAGAAATCTGAGTAGGGATGTAGGCAGGTTTCTTTTCCAGCCTGCATTGCGACAACTAGCTTTCCTTTTGCCCTAGCTATAGTGTAGCGGTATTCCCACACATGTTCTACACTCAAAATGTCCTTCATAACTTCATTGACTTTTGTGCTCTGGCCTTCTCTGCTGCACTCTGTCAGAGAAGTCCAGTGCTCTTTAATCTTATGGGACCGGCTGGCCCCATGGACTGTGTGCTCTTTCATCTTATGCCTGATCCCACTGCCTCCTTCAGGGCCCTCAGTCTTCACTGCCCCAAGCTCTCAGTCTTTACCACTTGCTTTTGCTTCAGCATCTCTGATTTTCTGCTGGGAGCTGTCCAGCACAATCCTTGGCTCTGGAGCCCTGGTCCCTTTGGGCTTGCTGTAGCAGCAGCATATTCTGGTTAGGATGGCCTGTTGTCTCACAGTCATGCTCCAAATCTGGAAGTATGCTGATGAGGCTGCTCTGGGCTCAGTCTCACTCCTCTCTCAAGCACACCTAAGATCAAGTGCTTGAGAGTGTTTGCAAATGGATGCCCCTGAGTATGCTCACTAGAAAACTAGGTTTGGACTATGCCAGGGGATTGTGGCTTGGGTTGGGTGTGCTCTACTTAGTAATGGGGAAAGGGACCCTTTACAGGGGATCTGATGCAAAAAGGTTCCTAAAAATGGAAGTTGATCAATTGTCTCTGTGTCCACATGGAACAGGTTAAGAAGTAAATTGAAATGAGGGAGATTTGGGTTAAAAATTAAAAAGAACTTTCTAACTATAAGGAGATGGTCAATCACTAGCACTGATTACCTAGAGGCTGTGGAAGCTCCATCACTGGAAGTATTTAAGTTGTCTGGAATGACATGGCTCTAGGGGCTGTATCTGGCCTGCACGCCAGGGGTTGAGCACCCTCGGTTTAGACAAATATGGCCCCGAGAAAGGGGTTAGACTAGATGGTGACTGGAGGTCCTTTCTATCCTTACTTTTTTGTAATCCTATGAAAAAAACCTTGTCATAAAATTTATAGATACAAGTTGTGCTTAAACCTGTGCCTTCAGTTTTTGAGAGCGCTTTTGAATAAAAGACTTTTTTAAAATCACACTTGCAGTTACATGAGATGTTTGAACAGCATATGCTTTGGGCTAAAGAATGATGTGTAGTGGTACAGGACCAGTTTTTTTCAATGCATATTTGACCTGCATTGCAACTGGTCTCAGGCTGCTTTGTTTGCTATGGCATTGATTCAGCAAAGTATTTAAGCGTATACTTTAGTTCCAAGCACATATAGAAATCCCATTGTTTTAATTTTAAGCGTATGCTTTCCAGATTAGAAATGAAGTTTAGCATGTACTTTGCTGAACTGAAATGAAACAAATGCAAGAATAGTTCACATGACAACGATTCCTGGGTAAAACGTGAAAGCTAACTAAAGATTTAGAATTGCAGCCAGCATGTTGTTATATTCCAAAGCCATTAGGTGTCACTGTAAGTGTGCAAAATAACATGTACTGTAGATAAGGGCTGCAAAAGAAAATAGTTATAGGAGACCAGAACATGTTAAGAACTTGGTGAAAGGGAGTGTGGAGTTAAACAAAAAGTAAGCAATGATGTTTATTAATGTATTGACTATGCAAAACAACCTGGACGTTATTAAGAGGATAGTGCTTAAACCAGGCTTTATGTATGGAATGCTTGTCTTTTATAACAATTTTAAGATTAAGTAGGTTAAATATGTGAAATAGAAAACAGAAATCTGTGATGAATTACTGCAGAATGCCTGAGCGATATGAATTTGATATATGAATTGGAAAATAACTTTGACCACGTTTAAATATGCTGTGACTGATTCTGATCTGTCTTACACTGTTCTAAATCACACGTCACTTCCCTGGCAGTTAGCGGAGTGAGTAACTTCAGTAGATGGTCTGTTGATTTACCTCATTGCAACCAAGAGAAGCATTATACTGTGTTTTCAACTGAATGGTGTTCATTTTAGTTAGAGCATTGCCTGAAAGATTGCTCAGAACTTTAATGGTTCATGAAACTGGGTACACCAGTAAAATAATGCTAATTGATGTTATTAGCTAACATGTTTGCAAACATTTCTCATGTTACTAATCTAGGCAAGCCCTTTAATGTCCTTAGCATTACTTTTAATTCCTGTTTTACAAACTGTCCTAGGAGTTTGTTTAGGAAAATACAGTTCCCTGGCAAAACTGTACTTGCTTGGATTTTTTTAAACCTGTCCCCGTCCCCCCTGCGTATTCTGTTTATTCCATCTCAGATTATGGACAACAGCTCTGTGATCAAATGAAAATCTCATCTTAAAAAATAGAGAGAGGCTCATTTTGCATCTTTATTACTCTGATCATTTTGCTCCATATGTCTGTTAGAACCTTTAGAAAGTCATCACCTTTTGTTTGGTGCCAGAGGGATGCATTTTTGTTCTGCAGGAGAAACATATCTAATGCTAAAGGGTGAAAAAAAAATCCTGCTCTTAAAGCACTAAATAACTTTATTTCAACTTAAAAACAGCTTTGCAAAAGGAAAAAACTGCTGGAATCTTTTACTTTCCATCAAGAGGATTAAACAGAAGGTAATAGTACCACCTCCCTGGAGGAACTTCTGCCTGCTTTGGGAATCGCTGTATGTGGCAGGATTGTGCAGTGCTTCTCTTTCTGTAACTTGTTAAAACATAAGAAAGAGAAAAGAATCAGAAAGTCCTCCTCTCGATTCCTCTGTTTTCTCAAAGCCATATTCCTTTAAGATGATGTAATAGTCATTTCCCTGGATGGTTTCTTCCCTGCACTGCTGAAACAACAGCATCTGAACTGCACTGGGAACTGTGGAACCACCCAGCTCAGCAGCCAGAGCAGCAGCTCGGGCAGCAAGAGCAGACCAAGCAGCTACCTTGGGCATCCTTTCAAACTGCTGCTGGCTGTCTTCTTTCAACCGTGCTGGGAACATGGGAGCTTCTGTGCCCTTACTGACAGGCTGGATACCACTGTGGGATCCCACTGAAACGTGTCCGTTCTTCTCTCAAATTCTGGGGTTTCTGCAAGTCATCTGAGCCAAGGTCCCTTCTGAAACACTCTCTCTCTCTTCCCCCCACTCTTAAGGATACTGATTGGGATTTATTTTGTGTTTTTTTTTCCATCTCAGATATTGCTATACATACTGGTTTCTTATCATCACCTGCCATGGTTAACTTTCCTGTGACTCGGTTTAACTCTTGAGATCTACATGGATATTGCTAAGAGCACTTTTCTTCCCTCTCACGTACCTTTCTGGGGTTGGATTTGCTATTAATTGGACTCTGTGTGCCTGCGCGTGTGTTCTGATTGCTTTGACAATTTGCTTTTCTTGACAAGAACTATGCATTAACTGTAACCAAGGTAAGACTCGATGTTCTCATTTTCCCATCTGCATAGGCTCTAGATGCCCGGCTTGTTTAAAGCTGAAATATGTAATTTCTTCTTAATACAATGCTGTCATGTATATTTTTCCCACACTAATTATTGCTTGGGGGAGGAAAAAAACCCCCCAGCAAAAAGAAAATTAGCAAAGAGATTTCTCTTAGCTTTATAGACTAACCTGCTTTACCTTGTTTTAACTTTTCTGATATTCAGAGAAATAATTGTTTTGTTTTGTTTTCCCTCTTTAACAGACCTGTGAATAATCATAGGCTTGGCATGACCTTGATTTTTGGGGCTTTGCTGGAAGATCTGATGATGTGATTGCATTTCACAAGGCGATTGCTCTCCATCCACTGTTTAAGCCACTTTTCCAGCTTCTGTGACACAGTCACTTATGGACAAATCTGACTTTTTTTTTAAATAAGCCCCCTGGTGTTTTCCTTTTCCTGTTACATGGTAGGAGCCTTATTTTATACTTTGATGTGATTTATAGCCCTGCCTTTCTTTGTGGTTGATTTTTGTTTGAAAATACAATGGCTCTGAGTGGAAACTGCAGGACTTACCTCCCTGCTAGAGAACAAGGGGCTGGTCTTCACTCTTTTCCTGAGGTGGTGGAGCTAAATGTGGGTGGCCAAGTTTACTTCACTCGCCATTCCACCCTGATAGGCATCCCCCACTCCTTGCTGTGGAAAATGTTCACCCCGAAGAGAGACACAGCCAATGATCTAGCCAAGGACTCCAAAGGAAGGTTCTTCATTGATAGGGATGGCTTTCTTTTCCGCTACATTCTGGACTATCTCAGGGACAAGCAAGTGGTCCTGCCTGACCACTTCCCAGAGAAGGGAAGGCTCAAGAGGGAAGCTGAATACTTCCAGCTCCCAGACTTGGTCAAACTCCTTACTCCTGATGATATCAAGCAAAGCCCTGATGACTATTGCCACAGCGATTACGAGGAGGTTTCCCAAAGCAGTGACACAAGAATATGCCCCCCATCATCGCTCTTACCTTCTGACCGAAAGTGGGGATTCATTACCATTGGGTACAGGGGGTCATGCACCATCGGCAGAGAGAGCCAAGCTGATGCCAAATTCAGGAGAGTTCCACGGATTTTGGTTTGTGGAAGGATTGCTCTAGTCAAAGAGGTCTTTGGAGAAAGTTTGAATGAGAGCAGAGACCCCGATAGGGCTCCGGAAAGATACACCTCCAGGTTCTATCTCAAGTTCAAGCACCTAGAGAGGGCTTTTGACATGCTGTCAGAATGTGGATTCCACATGGTGGCCTGTAATTCCTCAGTAACGGCTTCTTTTGTCAATCAATACACAGACGACAAGGTCTGGTCCAGCTATACTGAATACGTCTTCTACCGTAAGTACAAGCTATTTGCAGTGCAAAAATTAATCATCTGCTTAAAGTCGGTCTTTTTTCATATTTTTCTTGGTTTCAAAGCACGGGCAGACTTGATTTTACTGTATCTGTTGCTGACGGAAGTTGTCTTTTGATAAAACGGGATTCCAGTGGCTATGTTTTAGGTTAAGCTCTCATACTATAAACTGATGCTGAACTCAGTGGTATCGTCTTGGCTAGGTGGCAGCACAGACTGCCAAAAGCACCCCTTTTCCCCCCTGCAGCTGAAAGATTGGGCTATGCTTGGGTTTGTAAATCTGCCGTTTATCTGACTGCCTGACACATTTTCTGAGTACTTGCTGGATTCAATAGAAGCCTCGCAAACACACTGCAGATTTAATTACAGAAAATCTTCAAATGAGATTCAATTTACAAAGGTAATAGCTGTTTGATACTAGTCAGGCACAGCCAGCCAAGCCATCTGTCAACAAAACTGACACACTTACATGCAGGGAAGAAGAAACAAAATCCAGTTGTTCTATCTCCTTTTCAGCAGGGGTCTTCCCCAGAGCCAATTTGTATACTTTAAAATGAGGGTTCAGTGGATAGAGAGGCAGATTGTTTCATCTTGTTATGCAACATGCCCGTGAAAAAATAGGCCCCCTCGTAACTAGATGCATCTGCCCTGCTAACTGCAGTCACATCGGATCACATACTGTTGTACTAATTTTCATCTGATAGCTCTAGCAGGCTCATTAAATTTCTAAGTTGATGTTCAGGCAGGGACACTGTTACCAATGGTAACATCAGAGTAATTTTAATTCCATAATCCTGTATCAGAAAATCATTCCATAACCTCTGGGACTGAAATATTCAAGGAGCTGACCTGGCTATATTACTTTATTTTGAAAGGGTAAAGGACAGAATATTTCCCTATTCCATTTATTGAAGTGGACTTTGTCCTATATCTTGAAGATGCTGGGCAGAGAGAGGAAGGAAGGTGGATAATAGCTACTTTGTCCTACTTACCTATCACGCTGCATGTAACTATTATTAGCAATGCCAATATCATGAAAAATTTACTAAAGTTTATGTTGAAAGAGGTGGCAGAACTTGGGTACTTTACTGTTACAAGTGTAATATGCTACAGTGCAAAGCTAGGGCCTCTCAACAGACACCTCAGATCTGCTAAGGTAGCAGTGCTTAGGTTTGCATTCTGTAAAAGACTCCTCTATTTTTATATACATAGATTTATTAAAAAGTATGTCTGGACTTCTTATAAAATAGTTCAAAGGTCTTGGATCCCCTTTAAGGCAGGCTGAGATTGGTAACTTAATAATAAGTTTCTAACCATATCTCTTACAGAATTGAAGCAAAATTAATGTAGTTCCACAAATGGGCTGAAGCATACCTTAAATTAAAGTATTTTCTGAAAAAATAGGGAAGCTTACTTGTGCTTTATTTAGAGACTATTTCATAATTGAAGATAGGCCCTGAATCATGTTATTCTAATTAGCGAACACAGATCACTGTTATCTTGTATTCTTCCCATCCTTACCCTTCCAAGACTGTTAGCTTTTACTTTCTTTTTTATCAGTACTAGTGCTTAGTTGCCAAAGTGAGAGGCAGCTTAGAAATATATGCAAGAGAAAGAAGGAGAATATGAATGTGTAGCTTCAGAAACACAGGCCTGGGCTCAACCCACTGAAGTCCCTGGAGCGATGCCCATTGCATTCAACAGGCTTTGGGTCTAGCCCTATCTGAGCACATTTCAGCTCTGTGGAACTTTAAAATTTAAGCCTGGATCTGGATCAGAATTTATTTAAATGAGCTTTGTCTCTAGAATGACCTAAACTAATGACCAAGAGGCCAACTCAGCCTGCTCAGGCTAGATCCAGGTCTGACTCTTGTGACTTGAGCCTGTCTCGAGTTATTGTAACAGTTGTCATTGTTGGCTTGCCAGGATTGTACAGCTGTGCGTTAGTAATCCAATCGCAGGCAGAACTAAAGTAGGAACTGAGGCAATACTTACAGAATATGTTAGTCAAAGAAGGCCCTTCAAATCAAATCTTCGAAAGTCATTTTATTTTAAACTTTGAGGACCGATAAATTGACAGCTGGCTTACTAGTGGGACATTATAACTTCTCTGCAGCTGCTTAGCCATAATTATTTAATTAGAAGCTGCCAACTGTGCTTATATAAGCATTAATTCATCAAGCTGTTGTGTTCAGGTTAACAGGCTGAAACATGGGAGGTGCTCTAATGCAACTAGTTAGTGACATGCTAAGATGTTCTTAGCTGAGCAGCTTAACTACCTCTTGTGCAAACGTGAAGCTCTGGTACATCTGAGCTAGGCAATGTGTGTGGAAGTGGTTCATTGCTACAAGAAGAATAGAAGGAAAAGTCAATTTTATGTCCTAAAATATTTGTCTCTAAAAGCTCATGGTGGCATGTATTTAAAGAACATTCTGCATGTGAAAATTAATCCATTTGAAAGCAATCAGGTGGATTGAAGGAAATTGTGCAAAGTGGCAGTTATTCAGATAAACTAATGGATAAAGCATATGCTGTTGAAATGTATTATTAATATGGTGAGACTTATGCTCCCTTTGGAGTTTATATTTAGGGGCCATTAAGGCTAATGGGAGATTCATGTTCTCTCTGGGTGAAACTTACCCATGATTACAAGGGCCACAGGAAGCATCCAACGCAGCAAACTTGCATCTGTTTTGCTGAGGGGGGTAGTAAGCTGTGCTGCAGAGCAGAAACTCAGGATGACTACGCAGTCCTTTGTGCTGTGCAGCTGGGCTCTACTCCAGTTTCAAATAGGCCAATGCAAAAGGGAATTTGGAGACAGGCAGCATTTGAACATTAGGTCTACAATTAAATGGACCCAGGGAACAGAGTTCCTGTACAGGGAGAATGCAGTTGTCAAAGACTGGTATTGCTTAGAGGTGGGGCAGTAGTTGCGGGTTTAAAGGCCTTGCCCTGACCATGGGTTGAAGGGAAGATTTCTTTCTCTTTATTCCATCCCCTGGTTCTCCTGTGCTTTGAACATCCCTTCAACTCTGGAGTGCTTGAAATATGGAACTGGATCAGAATGTTACAAGTTCATGCCTGATTATAAAGCAGTATGATACAATATATTATATATAAATATGTTATGTGCAAACTCCTTTTATGGTCTTTCTGCTGTCTCATAAACAGCTTATGGAAAGTAAACCTTTCCACCTGGTTTCAAAATGACATTCTTGCCAGAGCAGTTGGCTGGGTCTCACACACAGATGTCTATGAGTTTTCAGACCTGAAATAGGAAAGTATAAGTTGGAAACGAAAATGTCCTGGTTCTAACTGTTAGCTCAGTGACTTCTAATCCTAAAATGTGTTCACATGCTAGAGTAGTTGAAGGGATTCAGAGTGGAAGAATATGGCAGTTCAGGGAGGGACAGGACTCTGCCCTCATTGCAAACAAGCTCCTGATGCAATAAATGGAGTTGCAAGTTGTACTGTGAAGCCAGTCATCTCTCTCTGCATCTTAGAGGCACCTCAGGTAATTGGGAACAAGTCTAATGCATATGGCTGTAGGCTTCCACTATAGACTTCTAGGATAAGCTTCTTTTCTTTACTCTTTCAGCTGTTAGGATGGCTGTGAGTAGCATCAATGCTCACCCATCAGCAGGTGGCATTCTACTTAACTGGAGGAATCAGAAGTGGGAGACAGAGGAGAGAATCACTAGGCATAAATACATTGGAAACAGTAGAAAAAGAGCTGGAGAGAAACAGCAAGTGAACAGACAAGAAGAGACACATGCCAAGATAGGGTGAGAAGGGACTCTATAGGGGTGCCCATCCTTTAATTTATCCAAAGAGGTTTCCAACCAAAGGAAAGGTAGAGTGACTCAAGCTAGATTCAGTAACTCTCCATGTAATAAGTACAGTGAATTCTTAGAGCCAGCTTCCAAAGTCTGAGCAAGCATGAAAGTTACTTTGAAATTTGAGGAATTTATGCACACTCCCTTAAATCTAGCCTTGAGTAGGCCACTTCATAACTATGCACGTAAAGCCACTCAAGTAGCTGTAAATGTTCAAAGGAAACTTCGCGACGTTTATAGCAATATAACTGTAGGCAGAAAATTAATTGACAGGATTCTTACTCCTTAAAGACATGCTCAGTCTTAACTCATTATGGCAACAGATGTCAATTTTGCCCTATTTTCACATTATTCTTTCAAGAAAATGCTGCTATTTGTTCCCCCCTCCTCCTTCCCCTTTTCCCTGTTTGACTTAAGGAAATGGTTCAGGACTACACTTCAAATTACCCTGGGTTAAGTGGTTATATTCTATTTAGTAGGACTGCATAGAAGAACAGGTGTGGTAGCTGGTATCTACAGAATTTAGATTGATGACTTCTAACTTGATGTGCAAATCTAGGTCATATATCATCCTTGGGTTATTCATATGGAATTTTACCTGAGATTAATGTAATCAGCTGGAGGATATCACTGGTTTTATCTGAATACAGCTGAAAAAAATTAGTTGTGAGTATATAATGGTTATTTTATTTCTCTCTTTCTCTCTTGCTCTTTCTCTCTCTCTCTATATACATATATATGTGTATATATATATAAAAATAACCATTATTTTATTTATAACCATCATAATAATTATATATAATATAACCATTATATAATATATAATCACCATTATAATTATGTATATATATCATATACAAAGTATGTCTGTATGTGCATAAATTTATATGTATATACTATATATATTTATGCTGTTATATATATATAATATATATTATATCATGCATACACATTTTATGAATCCAACATTAAGACCAAGTTATTTAGGCGGGGGGTGTATGCGTGTGTGTATATTATGTATATGCACACACATTATATATGTATATATGAGAGAGTAGAGCATACTATACTAGATAGAGCGAGAACATATATATGTACATATGTGTGTGTGCATGTGTATATATGTATATTTATATATGTATGTAGTGCATGGGTGCATAATACAGCCCCCCCCGCTTAAATAACTTAATCTTAATGCAAAGGTTGGATTAACATAATTCACTACTTTTATACTGTGAAATCTACAGCTATAAAATCATAAGGATTAAGCATAGAAATTAAC